CTCTCTTTCCTCTCTCTTCCTCAAGGAGCACGTTCTAACCCGTCCCAGTACGAAAAGTGCTCTTATGAATTAATGGAGGCAGTAACTACTCCATCCCTGAGATGAGGTGGGAATTCCATAAACATTTAAGTCTAGAAAATGCTGAACACTCTATGCCCCTCTTTAGAGTGAATGAGTGCGCATCAGCATGGGGCCTGAGTCAAATGGAAATCCAGCAGTCACACCTTACACCTGTCAGATCCTGTCATATCATATTTCCCTGAAAATAAGACCTAACTGGAAAATAAGCCTGAGCATGATTTTTCAGAATGCTCATAATATAAGCCCCAATCCAAAAAATAAGCCCTGGGGAGGATCATCAGCCACTTGGACACATTTGGTACATCCACTGGATCACACAGCAGACACGGAATTATAAAATAATATTATTAATATATAATTAAATATAAATATTATTGACATTAATACTTAAAATACATAATATAAATTATAATCAAGTATTTGTAAATACCCAAGCGGATATAAACAGATGAACTCAAGACTTTCTGCCAAATAACCAGAGTACAGATACATCCAAGAATAAATTGCATACTTGATAAGCGAGGGATGTAGTTGTATCTAACATGAATCTTTATAATTCAATATATCACATGTTATCACAGATGTACTTAATACACTCATGTGAAATAAAAAAACATTTTCAAAAAAATAAGTGCTATGCATATGTATCAACTCTGCACAAGAAAAGTCAACATGTACTAATAAAAATGTTTTAAAATGATACTAATAAAATGTTGCTGGGGGAGAGTGGAGGTGTCAGCTACCTGTGAGAGTTAATTGTATTCTTTTGTATTTAGAACAGTATCTGGTGTATAGAGGCTGCCATACAACTGCTAATATTACAGATGGTCACAGAGAAGATGACAAAACTGGGAATTAAATTGGATCTTGAAGGTAATATGGTTATTGTTGTTGTTGCTGTTGTTGTTGTTGTGCCCAGTACTAAAGACAACCCAGAGCCTTTGCATTAAGCTATATCCCTATTCCTTTGAAAGATAGTTTTTAATTTGAAGCAGGATCTCCCTAAGTCACTAAGCTATGCAGTCTGGGCTCAAACTTGCAATTCTCCTACCTCAGTCTCATGGAATCCTGGTATTAAAGTTGTGAGTGAGTGTTTTTTGACAGGCAGAAAGAATATACCTCGTAAAGAAAACCACAGAGCAGGCAGAAGAGAGTTTTCTCCATGTCAGTCAATGACCATGACAACAAAGATTAGATAGTGTACTTTGAAAGGGAAGTCTTAATGTCATGAAAATAATGGTGGTGGGGTAGAAAAGTTGAATATGTTACTCTTTTCCCTACCCTGGCTCCTCCTCCTACTCTACATAGCAAGTGGAGAAGCAATGAAAGTAAAGAACTGATAGATCAAGAGAAAAAATAAGTCAAGTTAAAGAAGGGAAGGGGCATCTGAGAAAAATATCTATAGAGGTCCAAGGCTTTCCACAATGTGCAAAACATTGTACAGTCTGTGGTGCATTTTGCAGCTAGTAGAAGTCCTGGAAATGAAGAATAAATCATAAAGTGGTCTCTCTGAGAGGAACACAAATAAGGGTACTCTGTCTGCTTTCATTAAATTCAGCTGCATGAAGCAGAAAAAAAAAAATAGCAGTGACGTAAACAGATAGAAATTGCTCCTTCTGTCCAGGGCTGGAATGACCCAGGATCCTTCCATCTCTGTTAAACATCTCTGTGAGTATTTTCCAAATGGCTACTAGAATACCAAGCTTTAAGTGAACATTGCAAGCAATTAAGGAGGGAAGGGACAAAGAGCTATGTACTACATCTCTAAGATTTCCAGAGAATCCCTAAGATACTTCTTATATTTCACTGACTGAAACAGACACATAACCATACCTAGCTGCAAGAGAATCTGGGAGATATAGTCTTCTATTTGGAATAGCCTACTTGGAGTCTACTTATTGGGATGCATAGCTACTGCAATAAAATTATAGTTCTAACTAAACAAGTTAAGAGCAATTAGGAGTCTCTGTAAAAGATACCAAAAGAGATAGCCCAAAGAAAAAATTCCCACCTAGTATAATGAGCCTTACAAATCATGGTACCCTTTCTTTTGCTCCTCAGGCTCCTCATTTCATCTGTCATTGCCAAGGCTCTTTCTGAGGAGATTTGATTCACCTTACTTTGTCTCAAGAAGAAATTCCATCCTAAAGTTGAATTATGACCCAGTTAGTAAGCTTTTATCAGGTTCCTATTCCCTAAATTACTTTTCAGGACCCCAAATCCGGCAAGCCTAGCATCATCTCCTTCTACTACTTCTTCCACCAGACATGCACTACAAGACCAGGAGTTTTCTCCTTTAGAAAGGAGAACTAAGTCTAAAAGAGGTAGACTCTGTGTATACCAAGCTCTAGACATTATGGCTTCATCCAAATATTCTGGATAGAAAATACTTACTGTAAAAGGAGCACCTTGGTTTATTACTGGTGCTCACATATTGTTAAAAATAGAGAAAATGTTGAATATCCTCTCATCATTTCAATAATTGAGAGCTCAAGGATTTATCACATTTTTTCATTGGTAGGAAGTAAAAAACTAGAGAAAAATCTAAAACCCAGAAAAAGTAGAGACTTATGGCTGAGTGTAGGCAAATCTAAATTAGTTTCAATTAACCTCCAGTAAGAGATCTAACTTTAAACTAAATAGCACCTCTTTCCCTAAAAACCCAGAAACATTTTAGGTGATTTGAGGTGATTCCTGATATTCTTCTATGTAAGTCAAGAAGGAAAAGGAATAGACAGTGTTGCCCTAAGACAAATAGCCAACTGTATACTCAGATAATTACCTGTTCTTCATCACTCAATGAGTATGGCATTTGTATAACCTGATGTGGATACTGAATGAAGTGCTAAATAATGTGTTCCTATGCTGGCCCACTGAATCTGTGTTTCATTGAACTTGCTTTTATCCTTTTTCCATTCTCTCCCCAAAACTAAACAATGATCATCTGAAACAGATAAAAGGAAATTGGAACTTATGCTTCAGAATTAGACCCTGGTGAGATTTATAAGATGGGCCAAAAGTGGAGGAAAATGGTAGATCGCTGCATATGGTTAGCATTCTGGGGGCAGAAAAACTTTGCTCAATACCAAGAAACTGAACAAAATTCTAGTGTCCTATCTACCTTTCTATATAATACACAGAACTTCAGTAGGACAGGTCTAAGAGGAGAGAGTCTGAAACTGCACACATATGCTAACAGCATGAACATGGAAGAATAACTTCCCAGAGTGAGAGCGGACTGGCCAACCCAAAGCCCTCAGGAGGAGAAAGACGCACCTCATGTGGTCTATCTGCAATGACAAAGACATCTCAGCATTATCCATGCGGGAGAGATTCCCATGACCATGGGCCAGAAGCTGTACCTGATGCCAAGATCCAACCTAAGAATGTATAGAGACTTTGAGAGGTCTTAACAAACTTGAGGAAATCATAAACTGATGTATGTTTAGCCTGAAAATGATGGCACTTTCTTAGCAATAGCAAAGATTGTGATTTCTACCATATGGTAGGAATGAGGCTCAGTAAAGAAGCTAAGTGATAGAAAAACAGTTACTTACTTTTCACACCTCAGTACACGGCTGCTACATTAGTCACCCATGTGAAAGGAACGGAGGGGTGTTTCTTGGATATGCATAAGGTTCTCTGAGCGTGAACTGAGGGGAAACATAAAACATGACTAGATATTCATTTGAATAAGTTTTTGTTTAGATTATAATCATTTTCTCTGGGCACATACATCACTAAAAGAAGGCCTACTTTGAATAGCAGATGGCAAGACTTTTGAAAACAAGAAAGCAGTTCCCTGGGCTGATGTAGCAGACAAGATGTGAAGAAGTGAAGGTCTCTACAGAAATGTAGGAGACAGAAGATGGAAGAGCAAGGGTTTGAGCAGGGAGATGACATTAATAAAGTCCTGGACCCAGAGAATCGGCAATGAGCCACACTCCTCAGAGAGCATTGTGAGTGTCCACATGATCACCTCATAAAACGCAAAGGCTCCCTCAAAGCTCTGTCTCTCTAATCCATCTGGCAAACATTACTGTCAAATGCATCGAAAATTTATCATATTTTCTTCACCATAAACACTTCCAAATTGCCCACTGCTATTACTGATGACACAGAATTCCTATGACTCGCTCTTGGAACAAAACTCAGCTCTCTATTTTTCCTCTAATTTATTTTACTTAGTAAAGCTCAATATATTTTCATGCAAATATTCGAATCTATGCCTTCTACTTTCCCTTTGAAATGCTCTTGGCCTTTACAATGATAGCTGTGTAACTTCAAAGTGCATGAAACGATCACAATCTAGAAAATCCTTTTTTTTTATTTTGGATAAGATTTTATTTAAAAATTATCTGCTAGATATCCAGTTGGTCTGTATGTACAGAATTATTCTCCTCAAGGATACATTTATTTATTCCATTTCAATTTTTGTGAGAGGATTGAGTTTATTGTTCCTACTAAAGAATGGTGTCCATATGGTAGAATATGGAATTAGTAAACTGTAGGGCTAAGAAAGATCTTAAATGTCGCTTACTACAACCCCTCAGTTTCCAGAGACAGAAATAAAGGTTCAGACAAAGGCCTTCTCAAAGGACACTCTTCAAATTAGCTACTGAACCAGTGCTTTGGTAACCCAGAACCCTTTTTAGTGTTCTTTTATGCCACATTATTTTTAATCTTCCCACTAGCCTAGTGTGGAAGTCATTTGTGATATCCACCAATATTTTCTTCAGAGGGCAAAAGAAGTTAAGAGTGGCCATGTGATTTGTTTTGGCCAATGAAATGTGAAAAGTGAAGTGTTTTTCTTTCACTTTAAGAACCAATATATAATTCACCAAAATCCCTCTCTGCTGCCATGGCAACAGGAAACATACTAGATAATAGAGGTTCTACCAGCTGAGGGCAATATAGAGCAGAGCCTCAAATGACTCATAAAGGATACATAGCATGAGTGAAAAATGAATCTTTATATCCTTGAGGAATTTGGTAGTTGTTTGTCGCTGCAACCTCACCTAGCCTATCCCTTGTGGTAAGTCTAAGCTTCATATCATTCCCATGATGCACCTCAGTGCACAAAGACTTAAGAATGTACTCAATGCAGAAAATCAGAATGCAGCTCCATAAAACATTCCATATTCTATGTTTCACCAAGATTCTTTCTTCCTCTTGGTTTATATTAAGGGTGAGGGATGTACTCCTTTACAAAGAATGAGTATTTTGATAGCTTCTCATTCTTTGAAACATTCTGCAGGTAAGCGCCTGATAGAAATTTCCTCTAGACTTAGAGTTACAAACATAATGAATTAGATTATTTTAATAAGTTCAGTACATTATGACCTCAAATGCATCATCCTGTACTTATGTACTCATAATGTGCAAAAATCTTGGTTTTCTTGGAAGCTTTTTATCTAGGTAATTCTCACTCCTTTTCTTCTAAGGTTTCCTAACTTTATAAGCACCAATGTTATGTCAAGCTGATACTTCAAAAACATCATTTGACATTTCAAAGTAATAGTTACAAAATGAACAGAAGATTTTCAAGAGTAGTGAGAGAGCCTGGGTGACTTTGGATAAGTCGCTCAGCCTCCCTGGGACTATTTCTCCCTCTGTGAAATGAGAACAGTAACAGTACATGCCTCCCAGAGTTTTTATGAGAATGAAGGTAGGCCATTCACATCCTGAGTGGTTCATAATAAGTACACAATGTTAACTGTGCATTATCTGTACCACAGAATACTTAGAAATCTAGAAAGTCAGCTTAATTCAGACCTTTTGCTTTCCAAGAAAGTTGAATTTAGAAACTATTTGGTCCATAAATTGTGGTTTTCTGGAAAGAGGTAAAAACTATGGCCCTGCCTCCCTGGTGAGGGTTTTAACACACTTTTGAAAACAAACATATGGATAAGAGGGTTAGTATTGCTAACAGTTTAGGAAAACTTTCCAAATGCCCCTCCGAGGGCAAAGATCCAGCTGGGAAAAATCTTTAAAAGACTAGACTCATTTATACTTTTTCCATCTTAAACACTTGGACTTTTTCAGGTTTATACCAAAGCTCACAAAATGCTAAAGCTTAAAGGAGAACTGAGAGCTTCCAAGGGACTGAAAGGTGAGGTAAGGCTCCTGACTTGTCTACATACCTGGAATTGAATCTTTGTTACAAGGGACTTCTTTTCAAGTTTCATGACTCAGAATTCCAGGTATATGCACCACAAAATATCACAGACAGAAAAGTGAAGCAGAGGGTCTTTAAAAGCCCAGATCCACTACGTGGATCTGTATCCAATAGCAGAGTTATATTACGCATGTTGGTTACCCTTTCTGAACTTTCTTTATCTTTCCCAAAAATATGAATGATGAGCACTTATTTCAAAGACTGGCTAGGAGGATTATAAGATACTACATGTAAGAAGGACCTAATAAATATTTACTATTGTTGCCAACATTCCATCTAGAATATTGTAATATGGAAATGAAGTGTTCTGCTTTGTCTAATATTTTTGTGAAATGGCATGTGTATTCCCTGACTTGTTCCAGAAAGTACTGAAAGGGCCTATTTGGGTCAGGATAGTGGTGTCCCACATGACATATGGGTTTTTTTTTCAACTTTAATTGAGTTTATTGGTACATTTTAGGGATATAGTACAGTTACATTCATTGTTGGGATCTTGTACCTCTACATGGCAAGTCTTGATTCTCATTTTTTTCCCCTTACCCCTGCCCTCCCTTCACCCCCGACATATGGGTTTTAACAGACCTCCTCCTAAGAGGTGAGTAGCTTCTAAAATAGAAATTTCTGCTACTTTCTCCTCGGTAATTGGAGCCCTAGGGGATACCAGGGAACGAGGATCAGATATGAATGTTCTAGAAGGCCATTCCTTCATTTCACTGATATCTTTGCAACACCTTTGACATGTTAGCCATTGTTCTTGGAGCTAGACACATCAATTAAGCTAAAGAGATGAAAAAAATAGAGAAAGATCCCTAGTCTCAATGGAATAGTTTCTCCAGGAATATGATGGCAAAAAGTATGTGGCAGGGCCGGGGATTTAGTTCAGGGGCCCCACACCTGCCTCACAAGCACAAGATCCTGAGTTGGATCCCCAATACCAAAAAAAAAAAGTATGTAGCAATTGCCCTAGTGCCAACAAAAATCAGCCCACATTCCACAGATGGCTGATATCTAACATATGCCATGTGTATACTAAACCATATATAGTATGCCAATGTTTTAAACGTTTATGACAATAAAATAGTCTTGTTCTTCACTGTATGAATGTAATTAGTTCCAAAATCCTTGCACACAGGCAAAATCTTGTATGAATATCCATTAATTCCCATCATAAATAATGCAAAAAACACAACATTTCCACAAGCATAAAGCAAATTCAGGAATCTGGTTAGTAATATCAATGTTAGTGTTTAAAACTACTGTAGATAACTTTAAACTCTATTATTACAAAAGTAAAAAGTAAAAATTCCTGAAGCATCATTAATTTTAAAGAGCCCCTGCTTTTTTTTTTTTT